CAGGGCCGGCCAGCGGCAGGAGCCCCTGCCCTCCACGCTCGCAGCCCCGGCACAGCCGGAATGGGACGGCGGGTGCGGGAGCCGGCCGAGCTTGCGCGCACTGCGCCCGCCTGGACCGGGGCCGAGCGGGGAATTCTCCGGCCGCGGCTGACTCAGCGCCCTGGCACTTCCTGCCCGGCAGGAAGGGGAGGGAAAAGCAGCGCTGGTCCCCAGGCTAGAGCGGGACACAGCGGCGTCCAGCATGTCCCCTCCTCGGCAGCAGCTCCGGGGAGCCCGTGCTGAGCGGGAGATGGGGTGAAAAGGCAAACGGGGCTTGGTAGGGGGAGCTGCCCAGCAGGACCCCCTGCCTGGGCCTGTAGGAGAGAGGAGGGCCCAGGAGAGAGCAGGGAGGTGGTGCCCGTGTGCGCCCTGCACGGCTGGGCCCTCCCGTTACCCTTCTAGCCCCTGAGGGTGGGCAGAGGCCGCAGGGCTCCTCTCTCAGCCTTCAGCTCGGCTCCTTGCAGCCGTGAGCCTTGGCTCATGGAAGTTGGGGTAAGCAGGAGCGTTGCCCAGCCACAGTGGTGCAGATTGGTGCCAGGCAGGGGCTGGCGGCCGTGCCGGCTCATGTGCCCCCGTGTGACTTCCTTGCAGAACGTGCTGGCCAAGGCGCTGTACGACAATGTGGCCGAGTCCCCGGACGAGCTCTCCTTCCGCAAGGGCGACATCATGACAGTGCTGGAGCGCAACACGCAGGGGCTGGACGGCTGGTGGCTCTGCTCCCTGCATGGCCGCCAGGGCATCGTGCCTGGGAACCGTCTCAAGATCCTGGTGGGCATGTACGACAAGAAGCAGCCGCAGCAACAAGCGCCTGGCACGGGGCAGGGGCAGGCCACACCCCAGCCGCAGCCTCCGGTGCCCCAGACCACTCTGCCTTATCACCCCCAAGGGGGCTACCCGCCGCTGTCACCCGCATCCCAGTACACTCCCATGCACCCTGCCTACCCAGCCCAAGGGGACAACGTCTACCTGATGCCGGTGCCCAGCAAAGGGCAGCAGGGTCACTACTCGGGCTCGGCGCCCAGCGGACAGTTCCCACCCGCTCCGGCCAAGCAGCCGTCCAGCTACCCCAAACAGCCTCCTTCCCACGCCGGCCCCGGCCAGGAGATCTACCAGGTGCCGCCATCCCTGAGCCAAGTGGCAGACACGTACCCAGGGGGCACTGCCAGCCCCCCCCAGGATATCTATCAGGTTCCTCCTTCAGTCGGCCTGGCTCAGGAGATCTACCAGGTGCCCCCGTCGTTGGACATGAGGAGCCGGGACGGGCACAAGGCCCAGGGAAAGGTAGGATGAGGGTCTGGGTCCTGCCTTGGGTGGGTGGAGGGGTGGCAGGGGCTCTAGTTCCTCTGTGGTTCACAGTGCCAAGGCAATGCCAGGGCAGCTGGGCTCCTTGTGAGGCTTCTCAACGTGTCGCTGTCCCTTGGCTGGGGTGGGTACATTGCCCCCTTCGCAGCACGTACATGACCGCTGTCTCCTGGTCCTGCAGTGCGTGTAGACATAGTGGGAGCTGCTGCTCTGGCTGCAGTGGCCTGGTTGGGCTGGGATGTTTTTGCAGCGTTTGTGTTTCAGGTGTCTGGGTGGTGGTGGTTTGTTTGGGCCCTGCGGGTGTCCTCTGGGGCACGATAGATTCGGGGGCACTGGGTGCTCTGCCCATGCAGATAGATGAAGAGCTGTTTGGAGATCTCCCTCCACTCCATGATGTGGCTCTGCACACAGGGCACAGAGGTACCCATGGTGCTCAGCAGCTGCCAAGATGCTCCTGCAGGCTCTTGGGCTGGACACCAGTGCCTGTGGCTCCGGGGGCTCCCTGCCTGGGGCACAGGCCGGGCAGGGCTGGTGAGCGGTGCCTGGGGGTAGGCAGGAGCTACGCTGGGGTCTGGCTCCAGCAGCTGGCGCAGGGGAGCCACATGCCCATCTGTCCCCAGGGCCTCTCCCTGGCTGCTGGGCACAGTGCCCCTGACCCTGGGCACTGCTTGCTGGGATCCTCCCCTGCATGGGATGGGTTGGCTGCCCCGAGGCCGCAGCAGAGGAAGGCCCTGCTGACGCCTCCACTTGGCTCCCCTGCTGGTTGAGCGCCCTGTGCCCAGAGAAGATCTGTCCTCCCCGTGCGCCGGCGGTGCCTGGCCCTGCCTGGGATGGCCTAATGTCCCATCACTTCCCAGCTTTTCCCGGGAAAAGGAGCAAGGTGCCTCCACCGGCTCACGGGCCGCACTGTGGCCTTTGCCAGCAAGACGGCGCTGACTCAGGTTGCTGGGACGCAGCCGG